ATATCTCACCCACTGACAGGAGCCCTGATAACCAGATAATCAGTGTTATTCACTTCACCTGTCAGTGCTCATAATGTTATGGCTGATCGGTGCATTTTAACTCAATCCCACACACACCATCCTGCTGCCCCGAATACTCACGAGAGCCCCAAATGTGGATTCACCACCGCTGAAAATAATCCCCAACAAATGCTCTATTTTCTATTTCTTATTGTTTGATAAAAATTACAGCTAGCAGCTGTTTGAGGAAATAACTGAACCTTTTTTAAACATGAAACTATATATTTGTGTTTTTAAAGATTCACGTCCTCAGTAGGAACCAATGGGGCGCAGACAGGAAGTCAGACAGTATTAAGAGACGGAAACAACAACAAAACAAAAATATAGAATGTGCCAAAAGGAGGAGAGAAAGGTAGCAGCACGTGGTGAACACATACTGCTCTCAGGAATTCACAGCTGACGTCAGAAACACTACAACCATCCCTCCACACGCTGTTTTACAGTGCGGTCAGAATACCAGTGAATAATGGTGTGTTATAAATGCTTGATGCTTCTCCAGGACTGTGTTTTCCCTTCAAACCCCGCACACCGCAGCAAAGTGCCACAAGCCATTCTGTTCTGTTTCTCCTGCGACTGTGAGAGCTTTCCCTTCTTCTGTTTTCTGAGCAACAACGGTTCTGAAAGCAGGGCACTCAATTATCTGGTATCAAGGCTCGCTACGGTGCGACAAGGTGATTGCTATGCATGGAGCCACCGGAGTGTGAATTAGACTTTCTGTGCTAAAAAATCAAGGTGTTTGGTTTGGTTAGTGACTTGGAACATTTTTATTTGCCTTTGCAGAATATTTGCATTATGCTGTTGAGTGTCGGAGAGCAGGGATCAGCATCGCAGCGCGCTCGTCTGTGAGGAAAACGCTCCATTTCTCAATGCAAACAAAGTGAGCAGCACTGGAGGAGGACGTTCACTGGTTCATTAATAAAACATGACTGAGGCGGGTTATTCCAGACACTCCAGAGTGACAGCTAACACTCATTTACATGACTGCTGTTTTTATCTTTTAAATGTTTAATACAAGAGGAAGACTACAATAATGAATTTATGAATATTAGATATTAATGCAGGATGCAGACATCGCTGGCAGAATATAATGCAGGAATATTAAAGTGACAGCCTGGAAAAACTCACAATACATCACTCACCATGGACACAGGTCGTTGTGTATATAACATAACTCTATATAAATAATACATTACATTTCCTTGATCCTTGGTATAATGTTTGTATATATATATAGATATATTGTTTTTATGAGTATCATGAAGCGAACTACATCCTGCATTCATTATACAGCCCGGTGTTGTTAAATTAAACTTTGTACACTGGATAATGAACAAACTTTCACTGTTATTTTACAGAATGTCTGTCTCTCATTATCCTGGCTACAGTTTGTATACAGCTTTACAAGATTTACATTTCTAGTGTTAAAGGTCCAGTGTATTACATTGAGGAGGATCTATAGTCAGAAATATAATATCTATAGCTATGTTTTCATTAGTGTTTAATCACCTGAACATAAGAATCGTAGTGTTTGCTATACCTGAGAATGAGACGTTTTTATCTACAGAGGGAGCGGGTCCTTTTCTACGGAGGCCCCCATGTTTCTACAGTAGCCCAGAAGGGACAAACCAAACCTCTAGATAGGGACGCTCATGTTTTTCACGAGTTTCACAGCCACAGTAGTTTCTCCTTTGTGGTTGGAACAAGCAGGTTAAGTGAGGGAGTTGCAATCAGCAACAGCACCGTCAGATGCATCTAAATCCACACTGCACCTTTACAATGATTATCTACGTCAGTAAATATAAATTCATTGACTGAAATGAAACATTATGTTGTGTTAAGTTTATCAGCTATTGCCCGACGCTAAACTATCAATTACTTTTTACAGTTGATCCACTAATTCATTTGTTAAAAACGTTTAAATGTTAAACTGTAATCACAAACACCTGCCACAACTTCCTGGAACCCAACGTCTCCAAACTATTAACTGTTTATTGTATTTGTTGTATTGATACTTATTCCTGTATTTTAATATACAGATAACAATAATCCAAAAATATTCATTACAAAAAAAAACGAAACCAAGCTTAATAAAGTTACCAACACTGTAAGTGTACTGTAAAATAAGACTGATATGAATACTGGATGAATAATTCTTTTGGGGTTTTTTTGTCCTGGATTGTTGTTTATTATATGGATTATTACTTTTTACAATCAGATTACTGATATTTTATTTAAATACTAATGCAGCTGCTGCCCACAGTTCTATCTGATTGGTTCACAAGTTATTACATAAAGATATAACGTTGAAAGGTCTTTTGCAGCCTTTAATTAAACAGATTGAAAGTACAATACCAAAGTGTACAGTTACAAGTAAAAGTTATATTAGTGAGAATTAGTATCAAAAAAAGACACATTTCAGAATAATATATATTATAATTATTGATTTATTAATGTGTTCATCAGTTGAATTACTTATACAATAATATAGATTTATATTGCTGGGTAGGTTCATGTATAATTAAACAGCATAATTTATTAGATGATTTATATTTTAATTATGTTCTATGATCTTTAAAGTAACTAAAGTTATCTAATAAATGCAGCGGAGAGGAAGTAGAAAGAAGCATACAAATGAAATATGAGTACTTAAGTAACTGTACTTTCATACAGTACTTGAGTAAATGTACTTAGTTACACTCCACCACTGGTTATTCTAATTTTGACACTTAGATTTGTATCAGTTCCAAATATTGATTAGATTAGAATCAATCAGTCCCTGTTGTTTACCAGCAGTATGACAGTGTGTGTAATCATATTACTGTTCAATCTGTTATTACTTTACAGACACAATGACAATGATTGTGTCTCTGTTGTGTTGCTGTATATATATATATATATATATAATATAAAGCATGTTGACTTTATTTATAATTAATAATTTATTTCTTGACATTTAGCCAAAAAACCCAAAGACACTAAAAACAAGAGATTTCTCTCACAAAATAAACGTAAAATTATTGATCGTTTACCAAAACTGTTAAAAAAAAAAAGGTTATTGATTGTTGATTAAGCCATCAGTATTATCGATCCCTTCAAAATAAATGCTCTAAAACTCACTTTATCTGAGGACCAATGCTGTGGAACCTGTATAAGACACAATGCTGCTCATGTACACTCAATACAAACTCCCTGCAGAGAGATATTGATACACAGGAGATTAACTCCTGTTATAGCCACAATATCGATTACTGACAGTGACTGCTGTCATCTTTCAGTCAGCTGGAAACTAATGATGGAGCACAAACAGGCCAACGAGGACAGGAGACATCTGATCGCACATTAAAGCCACTATAATTAGACTGACACCTTGTGAGACGCAAAGGTCGCTATGAAGTCCTCAGAGTCCGGGTGGGACCATCAGACAGCGACTGCATGCAGATCCGTTATATAAAGGTTACTGTGGTGTTCCTGTGTGGAAGTGCTCGGTGTGCAGGGTGCATGGCGCAGAGCAGCTCTCCTCCTACCTGTGCAGTCCTTCCCTTTGCCTTTGCACTCTCCGCTCTGTGGGTAGTAAGACGCCCGAGCCTCGGGCAGGTAGAGCAGCAGGGACAGCAGGCAGGCGGACAGCAGGTACCGGACGACCCCGCCGGGACAGCTCCCGGGGCCTGACACCACCATGATGCTGATGATGGGGATGATCCAACCTCCAGACACCGGCAGAGAAAGCACTCGGTTCAGGTGGAAACGAACAGTGTATCCCCGGTGAAGCGAAAGCGCTGCGCCCCGCTGACAGCAGAGCTCCGGCGGCTGGAGAGGAGGAGCGCAGGCTGAAGATGGAGGAATGGAGCTCCTCACGTTCAGGAAGCCTCGGAGGCGGTCCGGTTGCTCCAGAGAGGAAGCAGCATTCTCGCCATCCGTCCTCCCTCCGCACCGAAGCCCCCGCGTCTGTTCAGGCAGATTTCTGTGATACAGCGGATATGTGGCGGATGTAGCGACCCTCCACGTCCCGACTGCCGCTCCCGCCGACGGCCGCGGCGCTCCGGCTGTGCTGCTGTCCGCGCGGTAACGAAGCGGTTCGAGGGTCCGGCGGAGCTTTGGCGCGGTGCGTAAAGAGAGCAGCAGCTGCAACCACAACAAAGAGATCCGGACTGAGGGAGAGGACAGACGAGGCTGGTCACGTGAGAGGATGCAACACTCCCCTCCACCTCCACGCCCCTGAACGCACGCGCGCACGCACGCACACCTTAAACGCAACACAGAGAATGAAGAAAGGCCAGATTGTGTGATTATACACCAGATCAGGAGTCAGTCAGGGTTAGAATCATATTTTCTATAAATCTGAACATCCCGTTATTGATTAATAGCACATTGTCCTTTGTTCGTACAGGTTTCATTCAGGGAGAGGATCAGACTGAAGGGGATCTCAGAGTGACCTTAAATGACCTTCCACACCTGTGCAAGGTGAGGTCTCTCCTGACCGACTCCCTCTGAGGAGTGTGAGTTGCTCCCACGTGGCCACAGATACGCTCCACACGTCTGTCTTCACTCCAACATCTTCAGACTTCCTGTGATACTCATCCTCCACAATCAGCGCTCTCTTATCACAGTGGATCAGAGGATGATTGCACAGCAGCAGTTCTGTGTTCAGGGACGAGAAAAAGAAGTAAGAATGTACAAATCCCACCTTCACTGGACAGACTGCGTCCTTTCTGTGAGACTTTAAATGATGGAGCCAACAGACAACAAACAGAGCTTCCGTGTCTGAAAAGTGAAGCCAATGTGGAAAACCTGCGTTCTTTCTAATGGCCACCAGGGGGCAACTGCAGCGGTTGCAAAAATCTGATAGTATGGAGTCTTCTCAGTTGATTTATGAGCTCAGTACACAACAGTTTCCTGATGAGTTTCTGGTCTCAGTCTCTAGTTTCAAGTTTCATTTCTTCCATACAGCATGATACCGACATCGATCATTTCATGGGATTTTTTAAAATAATGGTCATTTTTAGAAAAACAATTCATTCAAATCAATTATCAAGTGCAACAGAAGTCTTCCTGTTCACATAAATCCAACATATTAAATATCAAAATCAATTTCAGAACATTGCCCATGCATCTACATATCTATATTGAATATGAAACGAATGATTGACCCACCCTGATGTCACTACAGTTTTAAAGCCTCGAGTTTGTAGATATCTTTCCTGTGCAGTTATAGATCTTACTATCTTTATCTTTATTTATTTATATTTTAAAAAGTACTTGATTTTTGTGTGATTTTTATGCACCAACACACAAATTCAAGTCAAATTCCTTGTTTGTAAGTTTAAAAACTTACTTGGCAATAAACCCAATTCTGATTCTCATTCTGATTCTGTTTGACATTATAGCTGTCGCCATTTTGGTTCTTTGGAGCCAGATGTGACCATATTTGGATAAGACTGTGGAGCTGGGTGAACAATAATAATAATACTAACAATAATAATAATAATAATTTATGTTTAAAGGTAGAATGTTTCCAATATGATCAATAATGTGTTTTTGCAATGTTTAATCAAACCCATCTGTATATAAAAACATGTATATCGTGTACACATTTCTTTTAAATCTTGTATTTTTTCTATTTTTATTTAATGTGCACTTTCTTATCTATTGTGTTGTATCTTGAGCTTATTTCCCCAGAGTGGGATCAATAAAGTCGATCTGATCTTATCTTGTTGTTGTGACTTTTGAAAGTCAGTCTGAGAACCTTTCAGGGTCACATTTTGGTTGGGTAGAGGTTTACAGAAAGGGTTTTAATGTTTTGTGTCTCAGGATTTCTTCAGCACTGTACCATCATGTGGAGCGATTCCTGCTCTGGCTGTTTAACCAGGATCCAACATGACTCATTAAACTCTCCACGTTGACTAGATTAATATTTACACAGCTCAGATTGGCTCACAGCTCCATTTTGGGTACCGCTGGCACTCCACCAAGACAGACTAGTGGACTAATTTGGGCACGCCACTGTTGATCCAGCCCCCGCTGTTAGTTTTTGTCGTCTTCCCGGTCAGGCTGTGTTCTTCTCCACCGTGGTGGATCAGCAGCCAGGCAGCAGCAGCAGCAGCAGCAGCGGTGGTGGTAGATGTCAGTCCTCTGCGGTGCTGTTGGACATGGTTGGTTCCACGCCGGCAGCTCTAACAGCTCTCCCGGGCGCTATCACCGCCAGCCAGACGGCAGAGTGGAGCGGGCCTGTTCTAAATCACTCACAACACTGCTGATTAGCTTTTGGGACGAGGTTAAAGACCTTCCCAGAAGGGTTCGGGGACAGGCAGAAACCCACAGGGCCAAAATAAAGAAGCCTTCCCTGATTTATTTCACTTCCGACTGACACTGAGCCAAAGATCAGAGAAGCAGACTTTTGGACGAAAGGCTGGCAGTTTAAAAATCCCACCCAGACAGAAGATTGATGACTAACCCTCACATTAATGACCAGGTTACTCCTGAGCAAGGCACTGAACCTCAGCTGCTTAGTGGCGAGTGTGGAGTGGTTGCATGGACTGAGTGGCTGTATCAGTTCTATCTGCTAAAAAGTTCTAAAATCTGTGTAAAATGTTGTTAATAATGAATAAATATGTTATAAATCATCCCGACCATTCATTTTAATGCAAACACCATGATTGTCATGTGTTCAGCATTAGTATGACGTCATTATATAGACAGACTCTGGCTGACTTCAAGCATCCCTGCAAATATGTCCAAAAAGCTGTAAAACTTGATTTATTTGCAGCACATTTACAGCATACACACACATACAGCTAGATGACTGTGCGTATATTTCTTTACAGGACTTAGCCTGACATCCTAAACCTGCAATAACTGATTGTTTTGGCTACTTGGGGGCAGCAGAAACAAGCTGTGAACACTTCATTGACATACAATCATCTTTTAACTTCCTCATCGTATTCACCTTAAACAGCTGGTTTGATGTTGATTACATTTGTGGACCCTGTTCCAAAAACAGAATTTAAAGAGTACAGATTTAAGTACCAGACAAAAATGGTATTACTGCTGAATAATGAAAAATAATTTATTACAAGACAGCCATTGAAATGGGCCAGTACCCACCAGTACAGAGTACCAGCACTTCTGATGTTTGTCCACATGAGTACCCTTACTTCTTTTTGAGTACCACCACCTCTGGTGAGCATAGTCGTAGCCACCACTAAGGTATTTTTTCCAAGGGGTTTACAATAAAAGTTGCCCCAAAACCCCCCTTGTAAGTTCAGTTTTTGGACATCTGTACTTCTAAAACCCTGTGTACAGCAATGCTGGTGAGGTAGTTCTGTCACTGCATCTCTGTGTGAACATGTAGATGGCTTAATGCAAAGAAAACAGCCCTGAAAATGTCCTTGTTAAAAGGATAAAGAATGGTAAACGAATTAGCGTTAGGGTTGTGATAGCATTTCCTTAACTCATTGTTCTTGTGCCATGATAAACCTAACCAAACCTTTTGGACATTGTACGGCTCAAACTTGCATTAGATCAGTAAAAACACGTCTGTGTGGTTATAAAGAGCGTTTAATTTCGAGGACTTGTAACGATCAACTCTTTAACTCCTAGGCCACCAAACATAGCTTTAGACTTCCTGTAGCTTCTGTAAGTGTTACAGATGAGAGATTAAATGTTTTCAAGATGTTTCTTCAACCTGTAGATGTCTTTCGAATCAACAACCTTCTGATTAGGGGACGACCCACTCTACCTCTGCACCACAGCCGCCCCTAGCTTAACACAAGCTTAAACACAAGTTTCAAAGTGCATTACAACATGAAGCCCAAACAGGCAACCAGAACCATTCAATCATTTACAGAATAAAACAAGACAGGCGAAACTCTGGATAAATAAAAGAGTCACCTAGAGAATATCGAGGCCTTAACACTGAAGGTTCAAGTTCATGTTTTTAATTTATAAACACTTTTATTCAACTGGAGCTCCTGTTTTTCTACACTGTGTAGACACAAGACTTTGTTAGTGCATAAAGCTGTTTTTATGACAGGGTAGCCACTCCAGAGCTCCATAAATGTCTTTAAAGGAAATGTAAAATTTTCATGATACACACTGATTCTTTCTTTACCTCTGAATATCTTCATCCAGATGAATTCCTTTGCAGAAACCTCCACTTATATATTCAGACTAAGGATAAAATGTCATCATGCATCGAAAACTCAAATTAAGTTGATCATGGTGAATTTTCATTATCAGGATAATTGTGTATATCCTGACATGATTTGACTTAAGAAAGCTGTCATGCTTGCTACCGTCAACCTTTTATTTCCTGATTTATTGTTATAACAGGGAGTATAACTATGCTATATAACTACTATAAGTACAACTAAAACAACTAAAACAACTGCACATTAAAACTAGTTATGTGACTTTGGCGAATTCCCGTTCATCTATGTTCTGGAAGAACTGTTTTGTGGTGCTGAAATGGTTTTGTCTTAATTTCTCATTAAGCTTCATCTACTTTGGTTTCAGTTCGGGGTTTTAACTGAAGCTCCGGCGGTTGCTGTCGGATTATTCCGCCCACCATATGTCTCATGAAGAGAATTACAGCTTACTTGGCACTGACCAGGTCTATTACATATTCCTCAACAGTTTGTTTCACAGGTCTGTAGTTTCTAAATCATTTCCTAGGAAGTTTCCTGAGAGGAAACATATAATTGTTTCTAGTTACAGGGGATGCTCAGTGATGTTTTTTATAGTTCAAAGGGAACTTTAAAGGAAAATTCAGAGACTGTAGCTCAGTGCTAAGGCAAGATTGAGAGACTAGGTGACCTAACGCATCCATAGATACTAGTAATGTCATATTAGTATGTCGGGCTAAATAACGCTCCAAATTTACACAAAATTTTGGTGATGGTAAAACTGGCATGGATGTATTCAAAGGGATTTCTGACCTCCACTGTGCTTGAACTGGACCAAAAAAGGTGCCAGTAGCCCTAATTCAGCACAACCCTAACCCTAACCCCATCCAAGGACATTTTCAGTGCTGTTTTCTTAACGTTCAACCAGCTGTGTTTACGTGGAGAAGCAGTTCTGGGGCATGAAAGCATCAAGTAGTTATTTTAGTCCAGACACGTGGACAAAAATCATAAGTGCCAGTACTGGCCCATTTCAGGCACTGGACCTCAAGATCTCTGATCTCTTATGGTTCTGTGGGTACCGATGAGTTTCACCAACATGCCAACTTTTCGATAATCCCATACAGTTTTTTATAAGCAGTATAGATGAGTTCTTTTTCTCCTAGTGTATATAAATATTTCTGCCCACTGGTGTCTGGGGTTGGAATTATATAGATTGATAATGACTGGAAAGCTTTGAGTCTCGGATTCAATAAACCCAACTGTATTCATGTGTGATGATGTTCATCCCCATAGTAACCATTTCATTGTAGTGA